TTGTTATTTCTTTTTTTTTTTAAGAAACAAAGAACGCTGATATTTTAAAGTTTTAAATTTTAACATCGAAGAATGAGTCCATCCATTAACTGTTGCTTTAGCCTTAATCTCCTTTGGCTCATTTTTGTACAACCCAGAGAGAGATTTACATATCGAAAAAATTAGTCATACCAAGTACAGAGAAAGTATATTATATGTACATCAATTGTCTATTTTATGTGACCTTGCTCCGATTCTTTACAATATTTCAAAACACTTAAATGCTACTGACAAAGATAGTTGGTGCACGCAAAATGTCATAGGACACTCTGTGAGAGTCTAACTCCTATAAAATGACTGAACTGTCTGAAGGTAGAATGCCATGAAAAAAAGCCAAGAGACCTGGGCGTCTCCGTTTAAAACAGGCATTATTTCCTCATGCCTTCACAAACACACACACTCACACACACACACGCACACGCACACGAAAAGGAGAGAGAGAGAGAGAGACGATAGAATGCGTTTGTTGTCAATATAATTGTGAAAGTTGAGACCACTTAATCGTAATTTCAGGTGAGAGATAGTATCTGTTGTCTCCGTGGGACTTACAATTTTACGGTCCAGGGTTTCTGTTAAAGACAAATTCAGGTAGACACTTGACGCTAGACTTAAAATACTTTGAAAAAAAATCAGAATAAACAAAGAAAGATAATCCGAGAAAAAAAGGAAATGCTCAGTGGCCTTTGTTTGAATAAATAGAATTTTTACGTGGGCAGCCTTACGCAAGCGAGAGGACACATTTTTGTCATCATCCTCATCTTTAATTATTAAAAAAGATACTGGACTATTACTGTGTTTCAGTGTACATGTTTAAGTTCACATGAATCAAATCAATTCAAATTTTAATTTGAGGGTATATTGTCGTTAAAAATAAAAAGCAAAAACGAAGTGGATTATGAAATTTTTGGCTACAGGTAATATTGTTATTTTATATAGACGATACATGTATTTTCGTTCTGTGTCTTTAAAGTATTGATTATACAGGAGTTGGACCTTTTTTTTAAAGTTTTTTTACCATAAAATTAGGGTAGAAACAGAAAAAAATATCTTGATCTGTGCGTGGCGTGGATTTTTATGTGCCGCTGACACGCTTATCTTCAAAACAACGTCCAAGTCGTAATTGTTTTTACGGTCACATTTGGTGAAAAATTATATTTTTCTTTTCCATCTTCGTAATGTTAATTCAACATGCTTATTTCACATCGATGCCCTAATACCCGTAAACATTGTATCACAAAGGCGATGCCTTTACCTTATATAATCTCAAATGTATTCCTCCCATAAATCTTATCACAATATAACGCTTGTATTATTTCACTTCAGTAGCTGTTTTATCATAGTCATTACATCTTATTTTAACTTTATAGCCTCATTCCATGTATAGAATTGAATAATTGCACTTTGCAATGTAATATGAAAAATTCATTTTCAATACGTCGACTAACACGCTGTCGTATGATGGGTCATTTCTTAACTCACTTAAAATGCCAATATTTACTGGTTTTTGTATAGAAATGAAAAAAAATGTCATCAGAAATTTTGTGGCATCGAAAGCGCTATCAATCGTGATCATCAGTGTGATAAAATAATCTGAATATTTCTGCCTTTATTTTATATGAGAAAAAAATAAAGAACAAGACTGGAGCGACTCTATCTGCCGGCATAAAAATGGAGCTGAAATGAGTTTTAGTCTAAAATTTAAGCCATTTAGCACTAAATATCTGTATCCAGATGTTTTTTGTTTTTTTTTTTCGATCATGGAATTACTTCAATAATTTGATGGACTTCTCATTTATCCAAGGCCCTTTGTTGATAAACGTCACAAACTGATGTGATGTTGAAAAGACTAAGCTAAGTTTTGTAGAGCCTGGTGACATTTTTATGGAAGTCAGAGTGGTGCAATGACCTCGAATGGCAGCACAAAGTTCTTCATCGTCATTAATCTACTTTTGGATCTCGGCTTGTGCACATTCTTAGTTTACGTTAACTGCTTTTACATATAGGATACCATAAGAAGACACTTGAATTTTCAAAATCTCGATACCAAAATTAAAAAAAACGACAAAAAATAACAAAAGTAACAATATATTTGATAAAGCAGTATGAAAGCGTATGACATATAATGTAATGTATATAATGAAAAGTAAAGCGATGGTGATAAAATCTCAATTAAGATGCCAGTGGTAGCATTCTATGAATGAGTAACGTACACTTTTTGCTGCAGGGAGGAATGACAGTTTTGCCATGAATTTTTTTGCATCTACGACCTTACATATAACATACATTTAGTTCAACAGTGAGTTTCATGTTGGAACACATAAATCTTCTTTCCAGACTGACAGATGATACAAATGAGATTTTTTTAAAGAAAAGAACAATTTTGTCCTGAATCCATAATTAAACAGGCAAAATGGAAAACATCCAGATCTACTTAAAAATCTGTGTCAATACGGATAATACTATTGACATGCACAAAACACGTGGTGATGGTATTGACATCGTTCCTAGTCCAGTGTACGGTGCAACCTTGTTGTTTGAAGATGTCGCCGTCGTTGTCACGTCCGCCGTTGTTGTGGGCATAGCCTCCACAAAAACTTCCTGCGAACAATTGGGACCCATGAACTCAGCAGTACATTTGCAGCGATGTGTGCAAGTTGTTGCATTGAATATGCACTCCGCGCCGTTGTAGCATTCGTGAATGCCTTCGTGCGTGTTGCAAAGATTGATGCAAGGTCCAAGGGGCCTGTGTGTGACAGGAGGCTCTGTGCTACTAGTTGTAGTTGTCTGCACATCGTTGTCACCAGTGTCGGTGCTCGGGGTTTGGCATGTCTCCCCTGTAAATCCAGGCGCGCACGTGCACTTTTTGGTACAAGTCGTCCAGTCAAAGTCACATTTGGCGCCGTTGTAACATTCGTGAATGAGTTCCTGCATTTGACAAACATTGAACCAACATTCGCCAGTTGCTCTTTTTTGTAGTAAGTGCATCAGTGTATTTGTCCTTTTTAATTCTGCCCCTAGTGATGGACATATTAGAAAGACGAATGTTTGTATGATACATATATGATACACAGTCCTGAGGGTCTTCATCATGAGTTAAAACGTCAAAGTTCTATACCGAAGATTATCCAAATGGGTCTTCTCCAGGATAAATCGTCCCTTCGTCTCAGTTGTTATAATCTTTGGCATTAACGTCGTAGTACCAGTGTGTGCCCATATATTCAGACACAAGAGACAAGGCGTCCCTTTAAAACAAGACAACAAAATCCACCTATCTCAACATTAAATGAACAAGACTTCTTGTCCTTCCTGGGCTAATCATGATCGTCATTTGTCACATTCAGACTTGAGAAACTTCAAACTTTTTCATAGCACACTATAATTTCGTGACAGATGCCCCATCTTTCTCTCTCTCTCTATGTATGTACTGTGCTGGAACAACAGTGCCTACCACAGTGTCGTTCTGCGTCCTGCATGCATATCTCCACGTTAATTTGAAGGTCAAGAAGATGGACCCCTTGATTTCAGCATTGAGATACGCACGTTTCTGTTCGCGGTGCGCGTACCGCAAGATGAACTGATAGCAGTGGAGCGAGAATCAGAACTTAATTATAGTGTATACCTTTCTTATATCAGTCATGCCAACAAAAGCCATTTGTCTTCGTCTTTTTTTCTCAAGATGAAAGTTGAATTGCTGATTATATTAAATTTATAAGCATTTTCAAGGCAGTGATTGATAACCCAATCCCTAACTTATAGCAGGACCAAAATTCCACAGATTTATCGACCGAATAGAAAGTTTTCGGTATTCTTTCGAGCTGTACAGCTTCCAACCTAGCCACTCTACAGAACCATCGATTTTTTTTTCTCCTCTTTTTTCTCAACATTTTTTCTTTAACTACGACTTATCTGACCGTATATTGTACAATGATGATTTGGTCTGTAGTAAAAACTTTGACGCTTGTGCTGACCCAGTAGAAAGAGTTATAGTATGGCTAAAATGCACGTACCCCTGAGAATCCATTGCCATGGTTTGTCTGAGCACTAATGAAAGACACAAATGGCACATTGTAGTAGAAATAATGCTCATAAATTTTAAGTTTGATTTCAAAATGAATGTGTGTCGCAAAAGTAAGAGAGAGAGAGAGAGAGAGAGAGAGAGAGAGAGAGAGAGAAGCGTAGAAGACCGACGCAAAGGAAGTAGGTGGAATTAAGATATGAATTATTGTACACAATGGACCGTTCATAAATATGACACGCGTGTATAACTTCATCAGTCTGTATTATTTAAAATAAGAATCTAGCTTGGGCCTTATGTCTTTTCTGCATGACATGATGAACAATTAATGAATATTTCTTGATTATCTTACGGAATGAATATTGATTACAATCATCTTACATGATTAGGTATGTTATTAACTACATGTACCTTAAATAAATCATATAGATATTAAATACAAAATATATATTTACATGTTTATCACATACATTAATTTATTTGTCAGCTGAACTTGTGAAATGTGATGTTACATAATAAAGACCAGAGCTAAGTGTAATGGATGTTGCACTCTTATTAAGTATGAATGTTAAAAAAGCAGTCATACATTATACTGCACTCTTATTAAGTGTGAATGTAAAAAAAAAGCAGTCATACCTTATACATTATTATATTGTATAAAGCCTTAGTTGAAAAACACAAGTGTAATGTTTTGAAACGATCTAATATCATATTGAAGCATTTTGCATAGTTTGGGAAAGAATCAGGTCAAAATGTTACAGTATTTTACCATAATTTTGGAACACACCTTTGCTGAAAGTAAGAAAAGCGTTATTTAAAGTTATAAATGGTTACTCTTCACATTTCGATCCAGATGTAGGAAAGAATCGTCAAATGTATCGGTAATCAGGACGCATTCAAAGCCGCCACAACACTAGTGAACTGTGCTCCCTCCCCCCCCCCCCTCCCCCCAAATACTGTGATCCCACTTGTTCAAGTAATAAGACAGAACTTGCAGTTGGAAATCAGATTCCCTGTTGGTCCTGGGGTGCTTGGGGGGTGAGGCGCCCAGATTTTCGTCTCAGACATTTTTGATAAACCGCCACACAGAGGGCAAGTGCGGTGATCACCAGTGTGACCGATACCACTCCCATCATGAACCATATCCATTTTGCCAATGAGGGAGATAAAAAGTCGTCTGTTGGTTTTGAGTCTGACGGGTCTTTTATTCTTGTGACGCCTTTGTAATCTGAAACGCAAGATTTTTGTTTATCAATAGTGCATTTATCCATCTATCTATCCATCCATCGAGAGAGAGAGAGAGAGAGAGAGAGAGAGAGAGAGAGAGAGAGAGAGAGAGAGAGAGTCTGGTGATTTCAATATGTATTTCTACAAAGACCACATAGTTATGTAAAATGGTAGCACCAAATTATTCTTACATGCGATAGTGGCCTTTGTATCACACAGTCTACCCATGTGCCCAAGTTGACAGTTGCAAATCATCTCTTTAGTCGTTGGCAATAGCTCACACGTCCCCCCATTCTGGCACGGCAAGTCACAGAATTCGTCGCAGTTTATACCCGTCCATAGCTTGTCACAGCGACAATAATGTACTGTCACGTTGTTTAAACTTTCCCACCTTGTCTCCTTACATACGCCATGGACACAGGGCATGGAGGCACAGTTCTCAATGGAAGAATGCTTTGTTGGTACCGCTTCCAAACTCGTTGAAAGCTGAAACGCCTCCCTTGGTTTTTTACCAGTATCTGTTCTACCTCGGACCAGTATCGAATTAGAACCTGCACCCCGTGGAATCAGACAGTGCTTGCCCGTGAAATTATTTGTACACTCGCATTTTGGCGAGCAGTCGGTCTTCATAAGCTTACATGTCCCTCCGTTGTAACACCGCCTTTTCAGGCAGAGATTGATGGAGCATCGACGGTCTAGCTTCCTCACAAACTCACTGGTTGCATATCCGGCGAAAATGTTGGTTTGGCCGTAACAATATGAGATATATAAACATAACACAAAAAAGCTGGAGACAAAATCCGATTTCATTGCCAACAAGAGTAGACAAAAACTGCAAATAAGATACCTCAACTTTCCTTCGAGTAAGCCCGTTTCTTATTTCCTCATAAATGTCAAGAGACAAAAAAATATCATCTGAGAAGACAAATAGGGATTTCCCCTATTCTCCGCACGTCATCTCAGAATTCCAAAAGAGACCTAGCCTTATAACTGTTAGAAAGGTTACAATAAACGTAGGACACCGACTTTGTGGGCTCTAGAGTAAAGTGTATTTCTTCATCTAGGCTCAGGTTTTCTACTCGCCTTTCAATTTATTTCATAAAAGAGGCCGCTGTTAAGTCAAACTATTAACGCGGCAACTTTAAAGATTTTTTTAACGTCGCAATGGTATGTGTAACGACCATAAATTGCAATATGGCTGAAAATCAGCAATTCCACAATTAAACGCACTGTTGTTATGTAATTACGTTAAATATAATATTTATGTAAAAGTTTAACCTACAAGACAAAGAAGAAAAAGACAGCTAACTTTTTAAAACTGACGTTCATATATCCAAGGGGTTATATCTCAAATTATTCTTTGATATAACTCATTCTGTGTCGCATGCCCATTGTCTTGTGACGCAACACTCCATGACAATCTGTAATCTTACATTTGCAAGTCTAATACAGAAAGTATCCATCCCGGGTTTATCAAATGATGGAAAGGTGTGATAGTGGCTATCAAAAACCAGGCAGGTGTGATCACAAATCAGTTTTGACGGCTTTTTGCGTAACATCAAGGTTCATGGTCTGTTGACTGAGAACCCGCACCCTCCATCACCGACGACAGTGGCGGTTGGTGTCTCCAGATCTCCTGTACCCTCTACCTGCAGGGCCGCATATTATATTATGTGAACTTTTTCTCTGACGCGACCCATCAATTTAACCAGAGACATACTGGTGAATATCTAGTGAAAATCAATTTGTGGGCCTGGTAGAAGGTAGATCTCCTTTAGATGATAACAGATGTAAAGAAACAGTGCGCGGTCTGCGCGGGGGCAAAATATGCACCCTCTACCGGAGGGCGGCTGCCTCATGACGTACTTGTGCATAAATCCATAACAAAATGTGCACAGCCAGAGGAATACTTGTACATATCTCCCACAAGAAATCCATTCCGTTACCCTGATAGAGGGTGCAAAATTATAGGAAAACTAAGAAAATAAAGAGATGGTGGAAAATCGTTTAAATTGGACAATTTAATCTGTTTTAGATCCCCATAAGCCACGTGAAGCAAGTTGCATTAGATAAATTAGTTAGCGACACCAGTTAGTTAAACCCCCCCTTAATTGAGGAAATATATTATCTAACTACATGCCGTTTGTTTTGAATGTGTATGACAGTGATAGGGAGTAAGAGAAAGTGCAGGTTAAAAACAAAACACGTGGCAAACTAGCAATAAATAATTTTCAAATATTTATTGTAAATATATAACAATATATTCATTATTTGTACAACCTTGCAGATCAGTCACTTTCTTTTAAACGTATTCGGCTGAGATTTCACTATATATATAAGGTTTGAATACGTTGCCACAGTAATAGGTTTCTCCGAGATTTTTACATCAGAGAACGGTAAACGTTTCCAAACCAGTATCAAATTAAAGGCTCATCTGGGAACTTTTTTCGCGAGTCAAATTTTTATTTATGCACAACTTCAATGGGAATTTGACAGAAATTTTGTGCACAATCATCATAGATATACGACAGTATTGCGTCGCATATTATAAAATAAATACCATCTATCTATAGCACGTTACAAAAGGCCTATAGGCATGGGTGAAAGTTGTAAAAACTGAAAATTCTATAAACGTAGAATGCATTTTCCCATTGCATTTCGACCACACGAAAAAAATAACAATCAAAATAAAGACTGAAAATCCTGAAATCAGGCACAATCCTAAAAACTTTCACCCATGCCTATAGGATGATATGCCTGGATGCCATAATAAACTAACATTTAAGCCCAACTTTCTTGACAGCCAAGGTGAGCATGTGGGGAAATGTTGTAGAAAAGCAAACTTACTTACACCACTCATCTATCTTCAAGAGCATTAAGTAACTTCTTTTCACATTATTTTAACTATGGGCAATTTTACATCACTTAATATGACAATTTTACATCACTTAATATGATGTTTAAAATGACTCCTTATCACATCATAGTGAACTTTTTATAGATTCAACTAACTATTGCACATTCATACTACCAACGAATGTACAGTAAATGTGATAATGTCAACCCTGATTCATTCATAATTGACATAAGAAATCTTCTTTGGCACTGTTTAGAATCGATTTACCAGGTATAAAGAAAAGTTTCAAACAGTACGCTTATCAACCTCAAGAGTTCACACTGGTCAGGAATATTTCTCCGTGAAAACCAAATAATATGGTTTGTTTTGATTCTTCATCAAATGGTTAAATATTTTACATTTCAAAATATTTAAATTAGTAACACTGTGTGACTCATACAGGCATAAACATAAATATTCAAATTGATTTTTTTCCTTCTTTTTGGCAATTGTAGTTTGTAAATGACAGCTACACTTAAATTCAGTGACCCCAGATTTTCCGCTGACATCAGGAACAGTGCTTAAAATTTAATCTCTTTGACATTAACTTTTCATATACTTAATTAATAATACTTTTGTTGTCTCTCCTAGTATGTGACAGCAAAGGATCCGTCTCATCGTATTCATCCACGGCAGAGACGAGAGGCTTCCCTTCCCTGGCCATCTTCTGTCTCCTGCTTTGGTTCAATATGCCACCCTGCAGACAGTATAAAAAATAAGCTTATAAACTAACAAAATCTATAGCAAAGGTGGATGCCATTGGCATGGAGAGAGTGAGAGGGAGGGAGAAGGGGACATGAAATCTTTGCATCATCACCAAACACATATTCTCAATACCGTGAATCTGGGTATATTATGCTTCTCCCTCTCTCATTGTGAAAAAAATTCAGGGAAAGGCCAATTGGTTGAGCATCCAAGCAGAAAAAATAGAATCTATGGCAGATGAAAGACATTGTTGCAAGGTCTTACAACACCCAAATGCTATGAACAATTATAAACATCTGCTGATTTTCACATATTTAGACAAAATAAAAGAAAGAAGGGAAAAATCAACAGAATCATTTCACATACCTTTCTCCTGTCATTTATGTTCAGCATCACAGATGTAGTAATACAAGCCAGTGTGTTAGCAAGCATGAAGATCATCATATACTGCCAGCGCTCTAATGGGATTCTAACCAAAAATAATTAAAATGTTCTGCTTAAAAATTACCACAAATATTAATGTAAAGGAAACAGAGAATGAAATAAAAAGAAGAAAAAGGCTTACTCTGCCTATGCAGAATATACAAAAATTTCATTAACTCTCTTTTCTTACATAGAAGTAAGAAAGGTTTCAAATAGCTAAGAACATCTTCATTCTCTTGTTATGTAATAAGAATTCAGTCCTTTATTGCCCGTTGTCATTGGCTGGTTATGTTGTTGCTTTTTTAAGAAGTGTACAGGTATCTCACATTATCTATGTACTTTATCAAGACTAATATGATTACCTCTTATTCACAAACTTAAAAATAAAACATTTAAAAAATATATATAAATCCAATATTCTTCTCTAATTACTGACAATACATATTACTAAAAAGAGAGTCTATAATAAAAATGTCAAACCTCTTTGCCAAAGCTGACAAATGTAAATAAAATATTGATAACTTACTTGCCATTTTTCTGTCCCAGTATTTCACCCACTACAATGTTACAGATACCAATGCCTACCATCTGTATGGAGGTGGTCAGTCCCATGGCTGTGCCCACAGTGGCCTGGCTGACCACCAGGGGAATGGATGGCCACATGCTGGCCTGAAATTAATGATGATAATTATTGCTAGATTTTAATTATTATAACTATTGATGGTGTTTAAAAATATAATACCAAAGCTGTGAAACTAAATCTTATCTTAAAAAATTTAAGAGGAACTAACAAATTTATCGATTTTACTTATAATGTCTATCAGACTTAAACCTATGATCATGCATTACTGTCAGCTTGACAACTCATCTTAATTGTAATTAATCTACTTAAATCAACAAGTATATCAGCCAGCACTTACAGCAGCAAATGAGTAAGTTATTCCCAGCCACAAAGTAGCCACCAGTGGATAGACATATGTAAATGCCAGCAACCCAAAGACTGGAATTGTTAGGAGACAACACAGAACTGCTAAGTACCCACGCTTGCCTATCACATCCTGTAATACAACAAACAACATGGCTAACAGGTAAATATGATAGGTTTACTTGTGTGCAAACTGGACACGTTATGGGCACAGTTTTCCCTTCAGCTATTTGGATGCACTTATGCTACCTGATCAGTATTTCCTAGTTGACTTAATGCTTTTTATTTATTTTTCATTGTTGACCACACCAGCAGTTTGCAATCCACAGTAACTTCACACAGCAACAAATTTAAATATCTTGAAATTAACTGATTCTAATATTAACGTAATGTCTATGCAATTTCCACAAAAGGAATTCTTGGTATGTCAGTAACTTACAATCATTCCTCCTAGAAAAGGTGACAGGACCATGGAAACGTCATACACAGCACCTGCCAGGTAGGAGGAGGTTGGGGGCTGGATGTCATATTTACTTTCAATAAAATCACTGAAATTTAACACAAAAGACAGCAATTAAAATTTTGTGACCAGACTTTTAATATAGCTGGTGCTAGTTCTTTCATTTGAAACAGTGCTCAGCATTTACCAAAATATCAACTCAAACTGCTTTCTCCAAATCAAGGTACACATTATTGATCTTCCAATACCAACAATATTTTGGTTCACTCATCAGTTTCTAATGGCCAATTTATTATGCAGACATTGAATAAGAACACCTCATACTTTACTTATATACTTTTCTTAAAATCACCTTGCATCAGCTACAAATGGAAACACTCCATTGTAGAAGAACATAATTGTCAGAGCCAGCAGCCAGTAGGAGGCTGAGAAATGCCTGATGTCTGTGAATTTCTGAAAATATATATGAAATTTCAATAATCAAGAACAAAAATGACAGGATTTCTATTGAATTATTTGGAAAACAGCTATATAAGATACTGAAGGGAAATTTTGTATTTTAAGGTACTAGTAATTTAAAGCATTTTATACCATACATCATGATAAAAATGCAACAAAGGTGATACTTACAACATCACAATGTTTCATCTTGCTACTCCATTTTACATATTATCTGTTTTAATCACATTTAGACTCATGGAAATGCATATCAGTAATACTCTGTCAAGTAACATGTTTAATAACATACATGTAGTCACAAAACGTATCGAGTGTTGCAACGATTACTTACCACTTTTTTGGACTCTTCTTTCATGTTGTCATCTGCTCCAAGCTGTTTGACTCCCATTTTGTCTAAGAAGCTGACTATAATGGCAGAAACAAACCCAATTCCACAGAGCATTGCACCTGAAATATGGGTCATGCAGAAAAGTCTGGATTAAATTTCTGTAGGTACTGGTGCACAAAAACACTTCTTTTTGGCGTAACTTAATATGTGACTACAACATCTCTGTTCTCTTACATTGTATGCTAACAACTTAACTATATATCTATGACAACTAATGCGTCTACATTAGTGTTTCATTTCTATTATAATATGTATACGTAATCATTATGTTCCCCTTTCCATCTCTGTAAATTATCACATTTAACTAGGTGCAGACCCACACATACATACCACCCCACAAAGTCCAGGTAAGACCAAAAGCCTTGGCAAAATTGGGTGTGAGGAAGAAGTTCAAGACACTTCCAAGCCTTGAGAAGGCAAGAGTGAAACCAAAGGCCAGTGCTAACTCCTTGTCCTTGAACCAAAATGCTGTGATACGATTCTGAACAACTTGAAAAGAAAGAAAGGAAAAGATAATAATGAGAAGTATTCATCCAGTCAAGGTCATATGATTTATTGCAACAGAGGTAAAACAAATATATAATATCAAACCTTGTAAATGAATCCCACATAAAGAGATGCATGCATTCCTATGCATGTGCATGTTAACTTATGGATAAAAATAAGCATGTTATAAACTTGGTCCCCTTTAATAACACTAACACACGACCTTCATGAACCTTTTATTTCTTGATTTCTTTGATAGTTATTTTTTAAATTTTGCATAATGTTTTTGGACAATTTGTAATCAGAGATAAAAACTTAATATTTGAATTTTTCATTTAAATCATTAAAATGTGATCAGGTCATCATAAAATCACCTGAATCCAAAGACTGATGTTCCTGACTAAAAGCACACGAGGTATTTCAAAAATAAATAATTGTTAGTGTAGATAGAAAGTAAGGCCTTTTACTTGTAAGAGATCCATTGCCTGCTCCAAATAGCAACCGTCCAATGAGCATCAGTGGCAGCAGGTAAGGTGTGCCTCGGAGAAAGACCCCAGCTGCAAATGTTGAGGAACCAAGGACGCAGAGAGATGAAAACAAGAAAACTCCAACTGGAATGAAAAGAAAAGCTTAAGTTATTTCTCAGTCAACAAATTTGGTAAGAATTAGTACTAGCAGTTTTTGTTATTATTTTGAGATCTAGAAGCCTGCACTTATTTTCTGTTTACTTACTGCTTTTTTTTAAACAAATACATTTCTATTAATCCTTTTTGCTTTCATGTAAATGTACACATAAGTGCTTTTTTATGTTTATATTGTAAAAATAATTGTTTTTCTGTGTTAAAACAGGATAATTTATTACTACTCTACCATACACTATTCATACCTCTATTCCCTAGCTTGTCAATTAGAAAACCAGCTCCTAGTACAATTACTGCATTACTAAAAAGAGGAAAAATCAAATATGAAAATTTATAATTCAATGAATCAATTTACAGAAAATGAAAATTTGCTTTTTATCAAAGAGAAACAGAAAGAAAAACACAATAAGAGTTATTAGCACTCAGGCTAATTCAAAGTTCCTCATCTAACACCTTCTTGTGGTTATGTTCAGGAAAAGAAATCCTATAATACTCACGTCCAAGCATAGATGGCATATAGAAGGTTGTACTGGTCAGCATTCATTCCAAGGCAATCCTGGCAACATGTTTGATTCTCTGCTGTGTGGTTGACTGAACTGTTAGTGGTGTTACAAAATGTGCTCTGTAAACAAATTGTCTGCCAAATTAAACAATATACTTCAAACTTAATTACTTTCTTAAAATATATGTCAAATTTAAATTCAAGGAACTTATTTGTAAAAACCTTAGCGCACAAAAAAAAAGGGGGGGGGGTCATTAAGTTTTATGTTTAAATATACTTCCAAGAGGTAAAAGAAGTAATTATAAGGAACACTAATGATCTTGCTTTTAAGACCCAATATGGTTTGAACTATATCACAACACAAAGCTATTTACCTATGAATCTGGTAAAGGAAAATGTAAATAGCGGTATAAATAACATATTTTATATTACAAGACTCTGGTCATGAACATACCCCTGTAAACAATGGCTGCAGCACACTGGGCATGTCAAAGCAGAAATAACTCCCAAAAGTCAGCAGACAGTTGAAAAACAACACCAAGAACCTGTAGCCACCTAAAATGATTGAAAAACTAGTAGTCACAGAGAAATAGTAACTTGGCAAGGGCCTTCTTGAGCATAATAGCACTTGCTTGGTTTACCATAGCATATTCTTACTGTATTATCCTCTTTTGAATGAGACTGACCAAAATTGTTGAGAAATATTGGTCAAATCAATGGTTAATGTCAAGTTAATTGGAAAAAAAAAACTCACAAGGGCAAAATATAACATTTTGCCTTATAAGGTAAAACAGTGCTGAATCATGCACGGCATTAGCAATAATTGAGTATCATTATATGTTCAAGATATACTTCTGGACAACATACTACATGTTGTACTATTTTTTTTTTTTTTTTGTGTGTGTGTGTGTGTGTGTGCGTGTGCGTGTGCACGTGTAACACATGTACATGTACTGTTGTACGGTTCCAGTACACTTGGCTTCACCTTTGTTGTGCATACAAATTGAAATCTAGTAGTTGTCAGAAAATGGAGACTCTCTTGTAAATATATATTGCCAAATAGAATTCCTCCTTGTTCTTGATATAATAAATAATCGGGTGAAGTGCAACTCAGTCACAGGACTACAAATTGAGGGCAATTAAAGTGACTCTGAGTCAAGTGACGACCCTCTTCCCTGAACCACTACACATATCTAATGTCAGTTTGATCCGAGTTCAGTCTGAAATACCATCCTTTCTTATGATGATGTTTAGAAATTAGATCAACAAAAACATGTGGGATTGCTGCTGCGTTGAACTTTCAAGTTCCAAGTTATTTCTGTGAACGTTAGTACTGTACTCTACCGTCTTTACCAAGCTTTGAGACGTCGCGCACTCATTTTGTCAAAAATGAGTCCAAAAATGACCACCATGAAGTCTGTTGAATCTGAGGCAAACCTTTTTATATCTTTCTTTAGTCTAAATTAAGTGTAGACTTACAATCTGTGGCTCTCAAGCCCATTTTGGACACTTCGACAGCACGGTCCTTGCACTCTGACGCCTCCTATCGCCAATTTGACCTTTGCACTTCAAGTGGCGAAACAAAGAAGAGAAAATGGTCAATTTTGCCAATAAACCTATCGTTAGACTTCCGGTTTGTTTCAAAGCTAAATAAATACATGAACGATATACAAATGTATTATAAACAGCTTGTTTTGTTTCTCACAGAATAGAAAATGAGCATAAACTTTGAATTTAGTCCCTCTTTGTCAACCCAAGCCTCGCTTTGAAAGAGAGGTAGATTTAAATGGAACAAATTTATTTGGGCAAAACAAGCCGTCGACACCTATTATCTTTATTTTTCATGGAATAAGAGTGGTCCATAACTTACACTTAAGATATATCTAGATAAATACCAAGGTAAGTGCAAGATTATAATAGTACATGATTAATTGTAATGGATTGTGTGATATCACTGTGACATCTGTCGATTCTAAACAAGCTGCCTCGAGCCGAGGAGCCGGAGGAGCCCACAGACTGCACTGATAGAGCTGGAAGTGGGAAGTTGTATATTGTAGGCGTTTGAAAATTTCCCAAACTCACATTTCCTTGTCTACATATACTGCAAAACAAAGAATCTTTTCCAATTCAGACCTTGAAAACTATAAAATCCCGCATTATAAAAGTACCTGGCGGCGATAATTCCTTTTGGAAATTAAAGGGAGACATTAATGGCGTTCTACACGGGCAGATAAATCCTGAGAGAGTACCTTTAAACATATCCAGAATCTACTGTATACAGGATTGAGTCGGACTTAAAATGATATAAATAAAATTATTTATATCCTATGGATTTCCTATTGATTTGAGACTCGTTTTAGTTAACATTGCCATTGGTAGGAATCAAAGAGTAAATTACTTGATGTTTGAAATGAAAAGTATTATTAAATAACTGTTGTTTATTCAAAATTTACTCTTTCATTAAATTTTTACATTTTCTTACAAACTTGGTGGGGTTTTATACCACAAAATTAAAAAAAAAATGGTTTATCATAAAAACACCATTTTTTTTCCCTTCATAGATGTCTCAATTTTCATAACATTTTCAGGTTTCGGAAACAACACTTGGCTTTTGGAGAAATGGAGGACAACCATGGAGAATTAGTTTGCACTGTATGTATGGAACACTTGTCTGCTTCAGGAGAAGTCATCACAAAAAGTCTTCACAAAAATGCCACTCTCATTCTGGGTAGAAATGAATTCCAGGATATTGTTTTAAAAGTCGCACTTGGCAAGACAGACAATAAATACATCATGAAACAGTTTAAAGTGCACCACAAGTTTGCAAAAGAAGGAAAAGCAACTATTATGGTTCTTGATAAGAGGATAAGATTCCTGTTGTCCAACAGTCCACCTGACAGACTGAAAATGTTTCTTAGGTGTCTTTCTACAAAATATGAATGCTTGAAACACACTGGGATTGTTGGGGAACGAAAACGATTTTTGTCAGAACTACCAAGAACTTTTCAAGAGATTAGCCCACTCAGCATGAAAGATGTTCAAACTGTTCATAATATCCGCACAAAGCAGGCCAATCAATCCTCAACTTTAAACCTGAAAAGAAAAAGACAGGAAGCAGCAGCAGAAAAGGAAAATTTGCAGCCAAAGGTATAGTAGTTGTATGCCCTAATTTTCACATTTTGTCAAATATTGTTGTAATATCTTTTTTAGCTGCAGTTAGTATCCATCATTTGATTTAAGTGACATAATTACTGCATATAAAATTAAAAGAAATAGAAATGTATTCAATTTGTAGTTATAATAAAATGCAGGCATTTCTTTTTATTACATCTTTCTCTAAGATTTTGTTATCATCATTATAAAGCACCTCATCTTTCATTTAAATTCCAGAATTCTAAGGTAGCCAAACTAGATATAGGTCAGCCTGGCAGACCTTTGCCTCCTCAGGGAACCAAACTAACGGCTGATCAAACTAAAGTATTGAGAACAGTGCTGGGAGGGAGGAGTATATTCTTTACTGGAAGTGCTGGAACAGGAAAATCATACTTGCTGAGAAGGATAATTGGTAAATAAAATGACACTTGTATTAGATTTTATTAAGCTTCGATGATTTGAATTAAACACTAAAATGTTGAGACTAATCAAATTGTTTAAAGATAAAGATGATCTTAGTGGGGGGAAAAGGCACTTTTCAGGCAATCCAGTTTGTAAAGGAAATGTGTGATGGTTTTGAAATTCATATCCATATTCCAGTCATACAATTAGAATTTTCATGTTTGCTATAATAACACCAAATCATGTACTTTGTTCACATTTATTTAATTATTTATTATTTATTTTAAACATTTATTATTCTGCAGGCGCTCTCCCACCACACCACACATATGCCACAGCTAGCACTGGTTTAGCAGCTTGTCACATTGGAGGAACAACACTGCATTCTTTTGCAGGTATGGAACAAGCCATTTATATTCTTTACCTCATAGAATTGATATGAGTAGTCATATTCTTGATTGTCAGTTCATAATATCTAATACTTTTGTTAAATATTTAAAAACTCTTACAGAGTACAGATCCATTCATCTTTGGTGTCATTCAATTATTAATAAACTTATCTGTTTTGGAAAAAATACTATAATTTATATAATTCATATAAAGTTGAAATATTTGTCATGAAAGAATAGATGCCAAGATTGCCCTGAGACAGTCTTGTCTTTTGGAATCTCACTTCTCTTAAAAGGAAACATTTTGTTTTCAGGAAGATGGTTAAAGGAGAGTCAATATCAGTCCACTGAAAGCTAGGTCACCTAAGACTAAATACCAAACAGATTTAACATCTTTTTAAGACAACTGTGCATTTTATCAAAATCATGGTCTTTCAGGCATTGGTTCAGGGAAAGCCCCCATTGAGCAGTGTGTTGAACTAGCCAACAGACCTGTGATAGCCAAACAGTGGAGGCAGTGCAATCACCTTATCATAGATGAAGTATCAATGGTAGATGGGGAATTCTTCTCAAAGCTGGAGACTGTAGCTAGGTAACATTTAAACATCATCAGTTTTGTGAAATTTTGCATGCCACAAACAGCTGCTGGTATGGTTTAGTTTTAGACTTGTAGATAACTGGGTTTCATACTGACTTAGTTTTGATACCATAATGCTATAATACAGTTACATATTGATATTTAGCACATTAAATACATATGCACTTGCTAGGCTTCATCAGTCTCAGGGCTAGGATCGTACCACATACCCCTTAATCCCAGTACATCTAATGTGTGGATTTACATGATATATAATATAGACTTCAGGAATTAGGTCACATTTTAGTGAAAACATGAACTACCTTAAGTAATATACATCACATTGCACATTTGGTTACATTTGGCTTGGTTTGACACAGTTTTTGCAAAAGTTTGTTTCATTTCTTATGTTATGAAATTTCAGAGTTATGAAGAAGAGCAATGAGCCATTTGGGGGAATTCAGCTTATATTGTGTGGAGACTTCTTACAGCTACCTCCTGTGACCAAGGGGCAAGAAAAGAAGAATTTCTGTTTTCAGGTATTTTTCAAATACTTTGTATACTTAAAAATGATATCTTAAAATGATGCTAAAATGTGAAGTGTAAAAACTTATTTGCTTTATAGTAAATGAGTTAAATACTTTTATTTTTATTTTTTTATTTAATTATTTTTTTTTATTGCATATCTCAAATAAGTACAGATCTCAACAAAAAATACAAAATTGGTAAATAACTAAATAAAAATTACACTCACTCTCTCACTCACTCACTCACAAAGAGACACTCCGACATTTGCAATATATATATATATATATATAGGTACTGTGTCATTTAAAATATATGTCAACAACGATATATTGATAACCTAATAGTAAAATACTTAATAATACTTAATAAATAATATGATCTAATACAGATAAAAACAAATATGTGTTTTACTATCAAATATATCGGCAGGGGAACATACGCAGATAGAAGATATCAGTCCAGGAAGAGAGGCTGCAGCTTTTTCCATTTTTCATTAAATTTATCTATTGTCATGTTTCTCAGACTTATATTTTTTTTTTATACTTTATACTTTTATACTTATACTTTTATTTTTATAAAATAATTATTTTTCAGTCAAGAGCCTGGCACAAATGCATTTCTGTGAATATGGAACTGCGGCAAGTTATGAGGCAGTCAGACAAAAAATTCGTGGAAATTCTTCAGGAAGTAAGACAAGGAAGGTATGACAAAAATGGATTTTTGATTGGTAGATTTTCTGTATTTTGCTAGTAAATCAAGCCATGAATATTTCCTTCTTTTTTGTTTCTTTGTCTTTTTCTTCAATAAAACATTGTTTTATCTTTTTTGTTTTAGCCTGTTGTAAACATTCTGGTGTGTTTTCAATCTTTTCACAGTGCTTTGCTCATGAATATTTGGTAATAATTGTTTAATTACATCACAAAACCTATGATTTATTTATAAATAAATCCCTCAGGTGTCCAGAGTTTGTAGAGAAGACCCTGCATGCCACAAGCAAACATGTCTTGGACAAAGATGGCATCCAGGCCACAAGGCTTTGTACTCACAAGGAGGATGTGGGTCACATTAATCAGATGCACTTGGACAGGCTTAAGGGTAATGAACCTGCAGATGAGTACAATAGAAAAGTTAATTTTGCATTTTAAGATGTCAGTATTACCAGTGTCTTTTTAAATGCATACTCTAAAGAGTATTTGATGAAGGTTTTGCTTTGTGTCATCATGGCTGATATGATAGGACATGATCCAGGGATTTCTTGTTTTAGAACTTTCTTTTCACACATATTCTTTTTCTCTATAGGGGAGGTGTATGCATATCAGTCATCAGATAGTGACCAAGCCTCTCAGGGGCTTCTGAACACACTGTGTCCAGTTGGGGCTAGACTAGAGTTGAAGATGGGGGCACAGGTAAAGAGTTGTGAATACATATCTCTTCCTCAATACCTTGTGATACCAGTGATGGTGCAAGATGAAATGACATATCAAAAGTTGTCCACAATTTGGGTCTCTTTACTTTTATCTTACTCTTGTCATCTTATCATGAGTACAGCACAATTCTGTCATCAACTATACATGATGTACATTTATAATATAGGTGATGCTCCTGAAGAACTTGGATGCTCAGAGAGGTCTAGTGAATGGTGCAAGAGGAGTCGTGACTGGCTTTAACAATGAACACCAAGGTAAAGCTCTTGGGCAAAGGGTTTCATCAGTGCTTAAATATTCTGTCACTGTTGATTATCTTAATAGATTATAGTTGACCATTGAAAAATTTTGATGGTGAATGTATTTTGCATTGTTTAAAACTATAATAGTATACTTGAAGAACATTCATACACTAAACTTTAGTTAACTGTTTTGGAGTTTTATTCTTAGCAGTGTGTGTACCATTTTTCAACAATTAAGGGATAAATGTCTTTACTTTAAATGTTTCTAAATGATAAAATTCTGTGTCGTTTCAAAATTTTGATTGTCACTGTTAATTCCAGGTCTCCCTGTCGTTAAGTTCATTGGAGGTGTTGAGACTACTGTGAGATTTGAACGCTGGACTGTGAAAGCTAGTGGTGGCATGCACCTAACCAGGAGACAGTTGCCATTACAGTTAGCATGGGCAATATCTATACATAAAAGTCAGGTCAGTTGAAAGATAAGTCAGTCTCTGGGGTTGGATAACTGTTGCAGGGAAGGTCAATCACTTATAGAAAACTGATGACTCCAGAAGACCTCTTAATCTAACAGACTTATTTGTTCCTTTATTTCCATTTTTTATAATCTGTGTTTACATATATTTAAGATCTTCACTTTTGAAAACATTTTTGAAATAGTATGAAGTTGATTTTTGTGCATTAAAGAAAGATCGATACCCACCACTACAGTGTATAATTTGCTTTTCCAAATAACAAATATATGACCCTGTAAATTCAGCAATGTTCTTCCATATTTTTACCCATCAGCATTTGAGCAATGTTTTTATAATTTCAGGGTATGACACTGGACTGTGTGGAGATGTCACTATCACGAGTATTTGAGAGTGGACAAGCTTATGTGGCCCTGTCCAGAGCTAAGAGTCTCCAGGGACTACGAGTGCTTGACTTTGAAAAGGACTGTGTTAGGGCCAACCCAGAGGTGTTGACATTTTATCGTAATATTCAGCTGCATCAGAGAGTGCTCCAAGCAAAGGTGGATGATTTTATGTAAGACGTTTGTTATATATATATTGATTTTATTTGAACTGTTGTTAATCGTGAAGTAGTGATTAACTTAGTTTTTAAAGTATGTGCAATTTTTCATCCGTTTGTGGATGTCCTTGAGATGACTACCTCTATTTATTTTAAATGCAGATCTGCTGACATGATTTATATTGTGACATTCAGTGTTTTTTGCACACTATTCAAAATTTATGAGATTTAGCATGGATGCACAACAATAACAAGCTATAAACAGTATTGGTTTAAATTAAACATTTTAAAGACTAAATCATAAAACTGTGATTTGAATATGATGAGAAATCTCAGTCATCCTGGGGTTCCAGAGTTATTGGTAGGTGAGACCAATCACCTTGTCATTGTGCTGACCATTTAACTCGGGAAGTCAGGAGCAAGCAATCGGTCTACTATAACAGTCTCCCACGGGTTAGTTTTCAAATAGTGTTTGATTGCTCATTTCTGTTTTGGGCCACACTAAGGACAAATGCAGTATGATAGACAGTTACAGAAAGTGTGTTTTTAGTTGTTTTTTAATTTTTATAAAGAATTATTTATAAAGACATTTATTAAAAGCAATTATAATGTATTACAATATGTGTACAGAAATTGATTAAAGCTGTAAGTTCTTTGTAAAAAGTGTTATTAGAAAATCCACCAAGTTAATGAATTTTTTGTCATATTGCTTAAAAATTTCCAGTTCAGTTGAAATAGCAATTTAAATTTGATAAAATTTTCTTTAAGATTTTGAACAAAGTGATTTTAAATGGAAATGTTTTTTTTTTTCAAACTGATCTCATTTTGCATTAATTTAATTGTAAAATATGTAATTGAATTAACTTAATTAACATTTATGATGCCTTTATTGAAGTTTTATTTCTTAAGAACATCATGGAAGATCTGAAGAAATAAATGATATGACTGAAATTAGTCACTTTTTAATGTTTAGCAACATACTTGGTGCAGCAAGTACATTTATCATTCCATATCAGCCAACCCAAGATAGGTTATCAAGTACAAATCATCACACTAAAGCTGTTTGCGACCTGTCGCAAGGTCACTTTAAACTGGGAGTATGACTGAAGTTAAACCATGTTGCACCCTGGCAATTCGATATTTTCAGGTACCACTGCTCTTTAAATATCAGTGATATACACCTTTCATAACAGCAGTTTCTTGCTGAGGAACGGTAAATAGTTGATCCAAGACACCTTTATTTGTATTGCTGAGGTTTCTGAAAGATTCTGAGCGATCCTGCAATTCAATGTTTTCACCGCAGCAGTTTGTACATGTACAGTTCGTGGCACTGCAGCAGATTTGTCTCACTCGACTTCTCACACGGTTGCTGATGGCGCAGAATATCACACCGTTGGCTAAACCCTGGGCAGAGTTGCCTGCACCCTAAGAAATAAGAGCGAAAAGTAGTTAGCCCTTCACCTATATTTCGATTCTTATGAGTTGCAAAATGAAATGTTATTAGTTAACTCAGCATAAGTACAATGAAATCTGAAAATTCGTACACTGTTTATCAGCTGTGAAGATTTTTAATATTGGATCTTGGATATCGATCTCATTTATTTCTAAGATTAAAGATTTCTAAGATTTAAAACAATCGCTTATTCCGTGTAGTATTTTAAAGACCACCTATACCCACGGTTATACTGCAAGTCGATATATATAAATTCAGGGATGAGAATTTTCCGACTATTTGCGAATTTCCGACTTTTTTGGGGAGCCAAAAATATGATTGGACTAGGCAGCCCTCCTGGACCTCACGCCATATTTTCGCTAAATTACACTCATTCCTGTGTACTGTCTGTGTGTGTGTGTGTGTGTGTGTGGGAGAGAGAGAGAGAGAGAGAGAGAGAGAGAGAGAGAGACCTCCATGAGCATGAACACCACTTTTATCCACTCTGTTGCTGGATATGGAGTAGTACAGCTCGGCATCCACGCTACCATGACAATCATACGCAACGTCCCCCATATACGGACGCCGATCAAGAGCAGTGGCACTGCAATGAGCTTTCTGTTGGCCCTCAGCACCACGCTTATTGTCTGGTCAAAGAGCATCTTTTCGTCTTCTCTGTTGAACTGGTAATTTCTGATCTGTTGATCAAAATATAGGAATGTATGAGTCTTGAATTTCTTTCCTAATTTAATTTCTAAATGCATTTGCCCGCCCTAACCAAAAAGTCTTATATGATCCTATAAGATCCTATAGGACCCTGTAGGAAATTTGGCCAATTTTCTATAGAATCTTATAGGATCTTATAGGACTTTTTCGTAAGGGCGGAACTGTTACTGTTTATACATTTTCTTTTCTGGACGATTTTGATCATTATTTAAAATCAAACTCTTTTTATAATTCACAAAACGTATGAAAGTCAATGCTGGAAACGTTGAGTAACAACCACCGATCTTACCAAGTTTGTACTCGTCCTGCTAACGTGCCAAGCAATCATCAAATACAGCACCAGTATTTGGAAATATGTCAGTATCTCGGTGCCTTTCAGTGTCAGTATAGTCCAGGCTATATACTCCCGGAACCCCAGCCCTCCCTTCAGCCAGCAGATAGACGCGCGGCTTATAGAACAGGCCGGCATGAGTACGTCGTTAAAACCAAATACATGATAACATGCCGCAGTGATTGTTGGAATTGCTGGAAGAAAAAGGAGACATATTTCACTGAAACCTATACGAATGGTTAGTTTAATGTAGCTGTAGCAAACATTTGTGTTGAACATATTAAAAATTTTCATGTCAGTTATCCAATTTGACAAGATTACTTCAAAGGATATATGTATTTTCGTATTTTACGGAAAACAGTTGCACATCTTTTCGTTTGTTGAGCTACAGGTTTTGTTTAGTATTTTTGAAGGGTGTGTAAGAAAATAGATCATATTTTTGTCGACAAAGATCTTACTTTGAAATGCATAACAGTTTGCTTGGTGAGAGATGTACAGTTATTTTATCCAAATTTAAATCGAATTGTTGTGATACCTGGAACTCCCCAACAGATGACATGAGTAATCCCCAGCCATTTCCACGCTTCTATTCTTTTCCCTTGGACTATTTCAAGGTACAGGTACAATGCAGTTGCCATGTTCCACCAGAATGACACCGACTGGGAATAACTCGATATTGCACCAATTAATACACATGTGATGTCACTCGAATTGGCCTGCTCGTCACCACCGTCAGTATGTATAGTATCCGAGCCAAACTGTCTCTTCAAGATATACCATAAGGATCCCATTAAAAAACAAGCTGCAGTCACGATATCCGCAACACTTGCAAACATTAATAGTTTTCTGCTGGTGGTTCGAACATCTTCTAACACCAGGTAGGTCCATATTACCATTAAGGCCCCGATAATGGAACATACAGCCACACATGTTGTGACGGTCACGAATGCCACGTCTGTGATCAATGCAACGGTGTATGGGGTAGTCGAGTTAGTAACGGTGATGTTGGATATATAAACGACACTGCTGTTCGAATTGAATAGTTCCTCCATGTTTCTGCTGGTTCGTTGCGAAGTATAAACTTGTGAAAATTTAAATCCAGAAACAGGGCGCTAGGACAGTGCACCAGGGCAGTTGCTTCAGAGGATTTCCGGGCGTTTTCTCAGCCTGTCACGACGGATTTTGTGCACACCCCGGAAAAAAATACCAAATCATGTTTTCTATCTTCGAAATCCAACGCGAATTGAAATATTTAGGAACAGTTAGAAGTAATTAGTGACAACTGTTACTACTACGTAGGTAACGGTCCACCTGTTCGTTTGTCATGTGCACGGTTTGATGACAGGTCCCAATCAGTGTGATAAGATATGGCACAGTAATTTTGATCCGTTTTCATTGTCAGGCTTCGACACGGTATAGATTTAGTGAGGACAATCTGATTGACTACAGATTATCTATATCTAATTCACATGATATGAAATGAAAATTGAGATTCTGCTTCTTTTTTTCTTTCTTAATTTTTGAAAGCGTAATGACCGTAAAGAATTGGTCCTGCAGGTTGGATTGTTTTGGAGGCGATCAACGGTAAAAAGGGGCTCTAATATACAAAATATATGCTTTTTTTCAAGGTGACACTTGTGGGCAGAGAAGCTATTAACGAAGCGAAATTACATTATTATTAATATTATTTTAAAAATCATTTTTGTATTATTCCTCGCCGCAAGAAGACAAAGAGGGAGAACTAGTTTCCCTACTGGTAAAATACTCTTCTTTATTCCTTAAGATGCACTATTTCTTGATCATTTCTATTAATCTAATAAAACAAAGCGTTAAAACTTTATCTGTTGTTTTATCTGTGGCTCTACCTCTTCCATTTATTTACAAAAATGTCACACGAACAATGAACTGGTGAATTTATATTTAAAAAAATACTGGGAAACAGTTGTGTCAGCCTTTGTTACTACTCTGTTGATACTTTGCTTCCTAGTCAGCATATAACGCAAATACCACCGATCTCGGTTTGTATAGCCTATAGAAGACACGAATACTTCAAATGGTATTTTGTAGCTTGTTTTTTTTACTGTCCTCAGTTATGATTTTTATATTGTGTCTAATACATTACAACTTTTTATCTAAAGTGAAGACTAACGTCTGCAGTTCCAGTTGCTTGTAAAAAATAGCAATCAGGCCAGCGAAAAGGAGAAAACACTAACACGAACCAAACCTTTGTCCATTTGTCAACCGTCCTGGGCTACTCCTCTAGAGAAAGATTTGGCAGGATATATATATACGAGGAAAATAAACGAATGCCTTGTTTGCCTCACAGCAAAACTTGACAGAGTGCTTGAACAGTTAATACGTGGTGAGGAGAGGTGTTGATTCCATTTTTATTCTCTCCGTTTGGTTCGACAGCGCCATGCGGCTGGTTGAGGAAAATAGGCTTTGTGGGTTTTTCCTGGTATAGCTGCTGCGATAAAGTCCCGATCTGTTGCGATGTGCGAATCTTTCCACCAATTTCACAAGCCAAAAATCATTCAAAAGCCAATGGCGTGTCCTTGTGCGGATTTTTGACGAGGTAAGACAGAAAAGAACGCAGTTTGTGAAGCCCTCCAGACTAGCTCCAAAACTCTGAAATAATTCAAGCAATAGATGAGTGCGCTTCAGTCTCTGCTGTTTTCAAATCTGTGGAGAATTATTTGAAACCTTTCTCTCAAATCTTTTCACCAATTCCTTTTTGAGGAATTTCGCGCCGGCCATTTAAACTAGTGATTTGTAGAAAAACACATAGGATGTTTATGATTGTGAACAATAATATATTTACTTGTGAAAATTGAATCATCATTGAAACAAAACGTACCCCCATAATCATAAAAAATCCTCTTGCGTTGCACATGTGCTGTGTTTGGGGTGTATCAAATCTTTTAGAGGAAGCTACATACAGCATCCAATGTATGCTGCCCCAGATGTGCAGTAAGGTATAAGTAATAGGAATGGCCGTCAGGCGGGCAATGTTTTGTCTAATTACCGCTCCTGCTTCTACTGGGAGCGAAGATTCATCCTCTCGGCGGATCTAAAAAAATCACGTTATTTTCAAGGAATCAAGGAGATGCAAGTTGTTTAGGTTACATATCAGCATTTTATACAATAAAAGTTAAAGAAAAAAATGAAAATAAGGTCTAGCTATCATAATATTGATGCACGAAATGCAGGGTATACTCTTTCTGAATGGAGTGAAAGTAATACCTCTTTTTGCACATAGCGCCAAACATAAAAGTATGTAGTAAACACAAAAGAAATAGTAATTATTTCCCATCCTTTCCACGTGAGGAGCTGCCACCCGACTTCTTCTGCAAAGTTTTCTCTGTGCTTCACCCAACAAATGATTGAGTCACTAAATAGACAGCCTCCATGGCGGCCGTCACGGTCTTGTCCAAACACACCACGTCCAATAGCAATTCCCGCTATTGTCGCTAAAAAGAATAGAAAACATTTTTTAACTTAAGTGTGGGGTCAACTGTTGGGTTTCCAATGAAAATCCACATTGATTTACGAATAAAGTCGAATATATAAAAAATTGTTGTCTGAAAAGACCAAGTTTACCGCCCCCTCTCTCTCTCTCTCTCTCTCTCTCTCTCTCAATCAAAACCAAACTTGTAGGTGACAGAGAGGCAAAAAGTTCCAAGCTTTTCTTTAAAAAGATGTTACATATGTATTGTACCCTCTTTCCCCTGAACTAAGGCGCAAGGTCGATGATGTTGCTGCAGGCATTTTAAGAAAGTTAACACGGACAGACAGAAGGGGCGGATCTTTCGTTTAAATCATACGCCAGTCATTGCGAGATTGCCCTAGGTAACTACCAAGAAGAAGGACGAGGGTCAGTCACGAGCACTCTCCAGTCTTTATTCGATACAGTGTTTCGCTAGGGAATAGAAATTCGAATCGACATTGTGCTGGAGAGTAATCGGCATCAGATATAGATAGTATAACTATTCCCAAGTTAGCGAAGAGATAATTCACACAAAAGTGAATAAATAAAAAAAGATAAAATAGAATACAACCAGAGGATCACAGCGGTGATACCACCGCCAGGTATTGTACCACCAGTGCTTGTAAAAGCCATGAAATGCATTTTTTCACTTTTTAATCTTTTCTGAATTAGTAGTTCAAATGATGCAGATATATAGGGGTTTCTGTTCGTTACGTTGTGTTTGTTGCAAATACCCAAATATCTTAGAATCAAACTTTTTATTATTATTTTATAATAAATTAATAATAGCATAAAACAGGCTTTAAAGGAATAATAACCAAAAATAAACTCTTTTTAAAAAGAAACTGACGATTTCAATCTGAAACTGGTATTATTTAATTTAACAAACCTTTGCCTTTGTTTTAACATCAGATTCACAATTACTAGTATCAGGTATGCAGGTCTCCTGTGTGTGCATTCCTCATATTATGATCAATTCAAACAGTAATACATATATTTAAAACAAATTTATAATGGTTTAAATCTATTTAGAGGAATAATTAAGTCTCGTTTTAAAAATAACTAACGATTCCAACCTTAAGGATATTGTGACCTTTCGCCCAAAACTCCTTATTTACTGTCGTACATACATTTTTTTGGGTAATAAATAAATCTTCAGTGTTCAGTGACTAAATTAATTAACATTTACACATATGCCATCTTACGGGTGACGCCATAATTGCGATTTTGGGGTAATTACTGAAAAAATCAGTTTCTCAAATTTCTCTTTTACCTGAGCACCCACGATCACCGTTTTAATCCCGAATTAATGACACCATTAAGTACTCCAAAAACCCTGCCAGCGATTTTTCTTAAAAGTCTTAGTGCAGATTTTATCGTTGATAAAGCAAAACAATACCTTTGTTTAATGAAAATCTGTAATTAGGGGCTCATAACTCCATAACAAAAACATTTAAACCAAAATGACGGCACGGGATTGTAGCGTATACATGTAATTTACGTGATAAAAAGTTACGCCCCATACTGATTGCTATCTCACCTCAAAATAGAAAGGTGTTAAATTGGCGATTCAAGCTTTGAGTTGCCTATGCTTATACACTGCAACGAAAAAATATAAACGCCGATATTTTATATTTAATAGGGTTTTTCGTTGTTTAAAATCAGCACAAAGATAGACGCATTATTGAATAATTAGTCAAATTATTCAACATCTGAATAGATGATAGATGTAGGAAAAAACTCATTTTCGGTATCTGGATGATAATAAAGGGTTACAATGTCCTCAAATTGGTATTCATTTCACAAAGAATTGGCCTTGTGTTAACAATTACCTATACCGAGTACCTTTGTTGCGCGCAAAGGATCGTGGTCTACATGAGGGTCCAACTTGCCCCGAGTCAAGTGGTCCAACAAGCCCCAGGTGCACATTTTTTATTTCAAAGGATTGTCGCCATTTTTGGTGCTAGAATGAACTAGGTGATACATTTCTGTGAAATTTGATACAATTATGTTTGGTTTGGTGCCCTATACATATACTGTTTTCCATCACAAGCCTATGAAAATAGATTTTAAAATATCTATAATAAAGTTACTATTAGACACGGAAATCCTTCATTTGGCCTCACCACTTATTAGGTAAAACTTTTTACGACCAACGCTTTCTTGGCATTGTTGGATAAAGTCACTTTACAAGCTTATGTGATCAGTTGTTTTAGCTCGAAGTACTTTTTTCATACATTGACGAGGGCCAACTTACCTATTCAAGTCCAATGGTAATTATGGGAGATATAAGGTTCGGGAAATTTGCAAAGTGCACTTGGTGGCGATGAGTGGGTCAAAGTCAAATTCAATTTCACAGTAAGATTGCCAATATATGACTTCTTATTCAAGTTCAATAGTAAATATGAGCTTATCTCTGCCGGTGCTGAAGAGGTAAGGGTAGGAAAATATGCAAAATGCATTTGGTGACAAATAGTACTTTAGGCCAAAGGTCAAATTCAAGGCCACAGTAAAATTGCCAATATATGACTTCCTATTCAATTTCAATAGTAACTATGGGCATATTTTGCCAGTTTTGGAGAATTTCACTTTTTATTTTCACTATTGAGCATTGCAACGTTGTACAATTTGAAATAGCGCAACTCCTATACAGTATGGGAAACAAATTAACCAATACCACTCTGGACAGTGTTGTGCTTGACAAGCTCAAAAATCCATGAAACAATAGGGGTCTAGCTTTAACGGTTCCAGAATTAGAGAGAGTTTTCGGCATCTTATGGATGCTCCTCCCATGAAAATGCACCAATTGACCCCAAACTCACGGAGATGAAAGGAGACCCCAAGTGTAGTTTCTCACCATAATATAAAAGTATAAGTTTGCAGTTTTTGATTATCGGCACTCAGCACTCGGCCTAATTTTATCCTCCACACGTACACAGTATCTATAACAAACCTAAACCTTGGTTATTGCCAATGATTTCTTATTAACCAAAAACGGTGAAAATGATATTATGCAATTTCTCAATTATACAACTAAAAAGCTATATAACGCTCACCTGGAAGAGGCCAACAAACGATATGTAAAGCTCCTGCTACTTGTTCGGCAAGTTTTACCATTCCTTTAACAATACACAAATATATATAAACCGCTAACGAAGAAGTCCACAGAAAAGAACATAGTTCAGAAAAAACAAGCAAAAATGACGTCACTTGACACCCCGGCGAGGAACTGTCGTCTAAATGTGAAGAAAGGTTGTGATAAGCGATTCCGACCAGAAACCCCAGGGCTGTTATGTAGTTCCCAACACTGATGTACATAACTATACGTCTTGTGGTCGTCCTGATGTCTGCGAACGCAAGGTAAGTCCATATAGTAAAACTTGCCCCTAAAATTGACAGCACGGATCCAGTCCCCGTAGCTGTCATGAATATCAAATCCACGGAACTCGTATTCGTGGTCTCCATTGTTCAAGTATCGAGCACTGGGTTATTTTCTGATGGCCCTTATACCCTATACGGTGTATATACTGCAAAGGCATATTAGTGATTTATTTAGTGGCACATGAACAAAACTTTGGCTGGAGGACCTTAAGCTAACATGTGATGAAGGTGTTGCTGTCACGTGTGCTATATATATTTGTATACATATATCAAATCTTTATTTTTGGGTGTCCTTTCTTATATACCCTGTGCTGTTCATTCCACAACAAGTGATAATACAATACTTATGGAACTGAAATGTGTATCTCTTATGTATATCATTTATGAAAGATATATAAATAGATTCAATTTAAATTAAATAAATGCTGTTTATGTTAATATGATTCAATGGGGTTAAATACCGGTAGTTACATATTTATATAGTAACAATATTGGCCTATATCACTGAAGACAGTACATAAATGTGCCAACGGTAACACCCGATTCAAGTGTAAATGTAGATCCAATTTGTATGGCTGCTCAAAAATACCAACATTAGATTAAAAAGGGCAGTTATATCTGTACATAGCTCCTGAACGTTACGAAGGACCTTACAATTTGCGATTTCAAAAAGGAACTAACTGCTTCGAAAATGTAATTACAAATATTCAAACAACCTACATTAACTCTTCTTAATTTATTACAACGTTAACGATAGCATTTAGGAACCTGGTTAATTTACGACTTACATCAGGCTTGCATCAATGTCACTGATGTGTCCTTTTGAAATATCTTACATGTCAGTACGAACCGTCCCCTCTCTTGTGCTCACAGTATATCTGGTATGTTTTAACTACACGCACAATGAACGACTTGCTTAAGGGAAGATAATTTCGCATTGTTCATCTATTGCCTAGTACCTTTCGCTTTTATAGGAATTTTTAAATTCCTGTTTACCTCGGGTTTATGTTAACATAACACCATACTTAACCAGCACGAGTGTGAAAGATTTAGAAAGAAAAACCTTTTTCAGACATTGAAAAACATCAAGACGCTCCGATGAAGATTAACCTTTTAATGTCCAGAATAAGATCGGAGTCAATAGACTTTCAAAAATCCGATCATGTGACAAGATGTTCACAGTCTAATACAGGTACATGTAGCTATGCTGATGATTTATGCCTATGTGAACAGCATTTACATCAAGTAGTCATATGGAATAAGCGAAAAGATCAAGACAGTCATCTGTAGCACCGAACACCTCACATCTTCGAGACAAATCTGGTAGTTTCTATAAAAAACTAGCTTTGAAAAAACATTTATCTGTTTAATAGTTGCAGTATCATTAATTTTCTAAGCCTTTTTATCTGTCTCGTTTTAACGTTTTAAAATAATTCCAGTCATTTTTCTTTCTTTTTTTTTACTAAATATTACTTAACGTAAACCTTACAGCCCATTCAAAATTAGTGCTTCCTTTATGAACCTCTAACTTGTTCAAATCTTCCAAAATATAGAATAAATAAAACTAACACCCAATCCACGTAACCGTTAAGCGGACT